AAATAGGAGCAGAAAAGCAAAACATGCTTAAGATGTGCAGTTCTCCTGCTTGCTGTCTTTAGACACTGTGCAGGCACTGAGTCTGAGATTCTCAGAGCCACCAGTCATCCTCCTCAGGCACAATGCCACTGACGATGGCCCTCTGATCCCAAAGCCCATTCCTTTGCGTGTGCGCCAAGGAGGACACACAGTTATTGGCAGGCCTCCCAGCCTTCTCTGAGAAGCAAACTTTATGGGATTCAGTTTCTGGTTTGTACTCATTGTAATGTAGATTTTATACAGCTTATTTTGGCATCTGGGTGGCTTTGTTTCCTTAAAAATAATCAGAAGAATTTTAGAGGCAGGAAGTGGTAGGAAGGAAAAGCCCTGATATATTTTCCTGTGCTAATCAAAATAGGTTTTTTCTAGAGGGCCGACAAAGACCGCCTGAAGCTGGACCCTCAAATTAGACCCAGCAACAGGTTGATATGTGTGTGGGCCGGAGGAGTTTATGGTCTCAGTTACCTGTTGTAGCTCCACAGTGTATAAAATGTTTGCTATTAGAATTTCCTGAGTTTCAGTAATAGTGACCTATTTTCCTGAATCCTCCCTTTTTCCTACCTACTCTCACGTGGCTCAACTTTTCTACATCGGGTTCCTCACGTTAGCTGTGAATCAGCTGGAATGGGGAAATAGAACGTTGATTTATTTCATTGCTATTATTTTCAGTGATGCATTTACGTGGCAAATAGCAGTGAGTAGTGAGAGGGAACCCAGTAGGAAGCTATTTTTTTTTTCATACTTAGGAGATAAAGAGAAAAATTAGAGAATCATTGCTAAGTGGTCATTTAGTGGTTTAGGGTTGACGGACTCCCTCAGCTTGTATATGCCACTGTTTTGATTTGTGGTTCCAGTTTCATTCCCCTCCCCTCATCTCCCATCACAGTGGGAAATTATACCGCTTTATATTATTTTTTATTATTATGGGCTTAAACAATGGAAACGTATCAATGGAGGATATAATGAGTTCAAGGCTATCTCCAGAGAGCCTTGAGATTGCAAAGGGAACTAAGTTTCTTAGCTTTCTACCTGTATTTGCCAATCAGAATCACTACCACCAAGTCACACTGAGCCCAGAGAAGCCAGCCCAGCTGGGATGGGATCCAGAGCTGCTATCTATGGCCCTGACTCATGTTTGTAACTTTTTCTGACTGCAATGAAGCAGAGAGAACTGAAGTAGCAACCTCGGAAGGGATTATCATTGTATATTTTTAAGATGAAGCACCACTGAAACTGTTTGATGGGAAGCTATCCGAGCTCCAAGCAGAAGAGTGAGGGGTGGGATATTTATTGATATGCGAAGTGGAATGGTTGGGATTTTAGGGCTGACAGTAAGGACTCTACTGGGCTTTTCTAAACTGTTCAAGGAGGGGTTAAGGTTCGGAGGGAATGCAAGCCGGGTATTAGGAAACTTGAGATTCATAGTAAAGAGTTATGGCAATAAAGAGTCAAGGACCCAAGACAATTTGGAAATTTTCAGAAAGTATTCATGCATTTACTCAACAAATATATACAGAGTACCTGGTATGTGTTTAGCACTTTGACAACACCTGGAAATGTCAGTTCAACGAAAATGTACTTATGTGGGCCGGTCGAGTGGCACATTGGTTAAGAACTGGCTTGGGATGCCAGAGGGCCCCGGTTCGGATCCCATATATGAGGGCCAGTGACATTGCCCTCTACAGGTAAGATGCTGAACAACAGCTCAACCTGGAGCTGGGCTGCCGTGAGTCTCTGGCGACCGCGTAGGCTGCAGTCCCCTGCTGCAGTGGGCTGCCATAAGCTACCATGTGTAGCCGGCGGCCAGCGTGAGTGGCTAGCAGCCGCCGTGAGCGGCCATCCAGAGGCCGGCGNACACAGAAGTATATCCCCTCTTGGCACCATGACAATCACAGGGAAAGCAGTTTGTTTGTGATGTTGAAAGGAAAGACTGGACCTAATGACAATGTTGCATTTATTGCTAGCTCTGGGTGTTTAAACCATCCAAGATTCATTACATAATGTGAAAGTGAGTGGTAAATCTGTGAGTGCTCGTGTGAAGGTAGCTGAAGAAATTTTGGAAACTCGAGCTGAATGTGGAGGAAAATTACTTGCCAGAACAAATATTTGATATAGATGAAAGCTCCTTATTCTGTAAATGGGTGCCTGAAAGGACTTTTATCCTTAAGCAGGCCAAGTCAATTCTAGGTTTCAAGACTTTTAAGGACAAGATAACAGCCTTGCTTGGGGACATTGTTGTAGGCTATAAATTGAAACTCCGTTCTGATCTGGCACAATGAAAACCCCAGAGCCTTCAAACATATCAGTAAGTATACACTGTCAGTGTACTGCAGGAGCAATCAGTCATGGATGACCCAGCTTCTCTTCCAAAATGCCCTCCTGAATTGCTATGCCAGTACAATGGACAACTACTGTTTGGAGAATAACATACTTTTCAAGGTTTTGCTTATTGTTGATAATACTCATCCTTTTATTGGTCATCTTCATCCTGATATCAAAGTGGTGTTTCTCCCTCCAAACATCACCTCTTTGATCTAACCAATGGATCAAGGAGTTATAACAGCTTTCAAGGCCTCCTACCTGAGGAGGACCTTTGCCCAGACTATTGCTGCAACTAAGGAAGACACTGATGCAATTCTGGAAAGATGACAACATCTATGACTGCATCAAGAACCTTGCTTGGACTTGGGGCGTTGTCACCAAGGAGTATATGAATGGCATCTGGATGAAAATACTCGAGAGGTTTTTCCATGACTTCAAAGTATTTGCCAAGGATGAGGAGGTAGCAAAAATCAACAGGGCTGTGGTTGAGATGGCAAACAACTTGAACCTGGGTGTGGGTGAGGACAACAGTGAGGAGCCCCTGGAGGTGGTTCCTGGGGAACTGACTAATGGGGAGTTATTGGAACTGGAACAGGAGGGCATGGCTGGAGAAGAGGCAAGAGAAAAGGACACTGCCGGAGAAGAAACAGAAGAAGAACCCCCAAGAAAATTCACAGTGAATGTCTTAGCGGAATATTTTGCAGACCTCAACAAACTCCTTAAAAACTTTAAAAACATGGACCCCTCCTCCCCAACACCAAAAGGTTTTCATTAATAGAGAGAAATAGTTATGGTACCTTATCTGCTTACAAGCGAACTATGATGAAAAAAGAAAGAAAGAAAGAAAGAAAGAAAGAAAGAAAGAAAGAAAGAAAGAAAGAAAGAAAGAAAGAAAGAAACCAAGCAAACCACCACGAACATATTTGTGAAAGGACATCTCTCAAGAAAAGCTTCAGGCAGTCCCTTCAGGAGGTGTTCCAGAAGGCATTATCATAAGAGATGACAGCTCAGTGTGTGTTATTGTCCCTGAAGACTTCCCAGTGGGACAAGATGTAGAGGTGGGAGACAGTGATATTGATGATCCTGTCCCTGTGTAGGCCTGGGCTAGTGTGTGTGTTTGCATCTTAATTTTTAACCAAAAAGTTTAGAAAGCAAAAAAAATTTTGTTTTCAATTTCAGAAAGTAGCATACTTATAGAATAAGAATATAAAGACAGAAAATATTTTTGTGCAGCTGTACCAATGTGTTTGTGTTTTAAGTTGTGTTATTACAAAAGAGTTGAAAAGTTAAAAAATTTTTTAAGTTGAAAATTATTTTTTTATAAATTTAGTGTAGCCTAAGTGTACAGTGTTTATAAAGTCTACAGAAGTGTACAGTAATGTCTTAGGCCTACACATTCACTTACGACTCACTCACTGACGTAGCCAGAGCAACTTCCAGTCCTGCAAGCTCCATTCATGGTAAGTGTCCTATACAGGTGTACGTTTTTAAATTTTTTATATCATATTCTTACTGTACATTTTCTATGTTTAGGTATATTTAGATACACAAACACTTACCATTGCATTATAATTGCCTACCGTATCCAGTACAGTAACATGCTGTACAGGTTTTCGAGCCTAGGAGCAACAGGCTTTACTATGTAACCTAGGTGTGTAGTAGGCTATACCATCTAGGTTTGTGTAAGTGCATTCTATGATGTTTGCACAACAATGAAATCATCTAATGATGCATTTCACAGAATGCATCCCCATTATTAAGCAACACATGGCTGTAGAAATATTCATAGGCAGATTTGAGCAGTCAGAAGAAAGAATCAGTGAACTTGAAGATAAGATAATGGAAATTACTGAGTCTGAAGAACATAAAGAAAAAAGATTGAAGGAAAGTGAACAGAGCCTAAGGGGCCTATGGGAGACCATTAAGCACACCAACATACACATCATGGGAGTCTCAGAAGGAGAAGAGAAAAAGGGGTGGAGAGAACATTTGAAGAAATAATGGCTGAAAACTTCCCAAATTTGATGAGAGACTTGAATATAAACATCTAAGAAGCTCAACAGATTTCTAGTAAGATGAACTCAAAAAGACCTGCACTTAGACACATTATAAACAAATTTTCGAAAGACAAAGAGAGAATCTTGAAATTAGCAGGAGAGAAATGACTCATCACACACAAGAATGTTTCAATAAAATAACAGATTTCTTGTCAGAAACTTTAGAGATCAAAATGCAATGGGTCAACATATTCAAAGTGCTAAAAGAAAAAAACTGTCAACCAAGAATCTTATAATCCACCAAAACTGTCCTTCAAAAGTGGTGNTCTACCGGGAAGAGTGCAATGATGGTGCCAGCTTGGGCCAGTGAAGCAACATCCTCCACAACTAGACTGAAGAACAAAACAACAGCAACGTGTCTGTTCCCCTTCCCCTGATTCCCCAGCACTGTTCCCCTCCCCCAATTCCCCAATAAAATCTTAAAAAAAAACAAAAACATGTACTTATGCTGGATGGTTACACGCAACTTCTTTTAAGAAAAACTGACGTGTCTCTCACCAAGCAGAAGGTCTCGGTGGCAGAGAGGGACCGACCCGTTCCTGATGGTCTCTCCCCACCTCTCCCCCCGCTCTGTCTCCTCAGTTTGCATCTCTGGTAGGAGCAGGCGTGATGCTGCTCCTGATGGTGAAGGTGGAACACTTTTTCCTCGCACTGCCAAATGTAAGTGGAACTGATCAAATAACTAGGCCAAGACAGCCCAATCTCCAGATTGCATCTTGGTGGGTATCTCTCAGGAGAATTGCATTCAGCTTATCCCTACTGGTTGCCCCAGCCTCACTCTAGTCCCTTTCCTTTAAAATAATACCATCTCAGGGTGGCCGGTTAGCTCAGTTGGTTAGAGTGTGGTGCTGATACATCAAGGTTGCCAGTTCGATTCCCGCACGGGCCATTGTAAGCTGCACCCTCCTTAAAAAAAATAATAATAATAACATCTACTTCACAGGATTGGGAGTTACATACTTTTATATAAATATATATATATATATATATATATATATGTATGTATACATATATATATATATGGTAAAGAGAACAGTACTGAGCTAATACTAAGCCCTCAAGAAACATTAGTTGTTATTATTCTCATTCTCATTAATCTTCTTTTCATTGCTTAAGTTATAAAGAAGCTTTATAAGTAAGAATTCAGTTTAAAAAGATCAAAATAGACTTCAGATAGCAGCACGCCCATGATCAACACAGGCTTAGAAACTCACTGTGCATTCACGCCATCTGTTTTCCTATACCGTTTCCAGGAGCACTTGTTCTGCATTCGTGGGAACTCAGTCCCCCTCTTGCTTCCACACTGTCTCTTGGTTAGTTTAAAACTGTAAAAAACAGGATTTGAAAGTTGAGTTATAACTGTGTTCAGCTAGGCTGCTTCCACGTACTTCTATGCCATTTCTTCCCTTTGTGTGAGCGTGACCACCTTGCATTTACAGATGCCAGGTGCATTAATTACTGGCTATAATCAATTTGTTCTCAATTACAATAGAGGTCAATATGCAGTGACCATAATTTCCTTAATGTTCCCGTTCGCCATTTTTAGACAGTATTACGGAGGGTGGGAGGAGGTTTCATTCCCCGTGTAGCAGCTTGGTTACATACTGAGGTGGCACTCCCTGAAGCTGCAGTGGTTGGAAATGTTATCCTCATCCTTTTGAACGCATCTGTTCCACCTGGTGAATATCAGGTTTCGGTAGAGCAGGACCACCTCAAGGCTGTCACTGTCTTCTGTTTTGTGATTCAGGGACCTTGGAACCCAGCCATGGAATCCATGCATGGGAGGTGGGATTAAGCTTGTGTTTATCACACAAGCTGTCCTCTAATTTCCAGCAAAAGTCATCTCCAGAATTTAGTTTATAGGGCACCTTTGGTACTCTAACTCTTGGAGACTTATTTTAGAAGAACCACTCACTAATTTACTTCAAACAGGGACATTTTTTTTTCTTTATAGTTAGAAGAATCAGGATTTTTTAAATCTCAAACACCCTTTATTATAAATACGTTGCAGACAGAACAACCCTTGCTTCTGGCTAACCATCTTATGTCACATTATTTTTACAGCACCTAGTTAGGGTGTTTCTGGGTGAGAAAATGTGAACACTATCTGACCAGTGGAATATCTGAATTACTATACAGTGGAGCTCTAAGAGTATTAAACTATGAAAGATTCCTTCCTTCCTTGAAAGACTATGAACTGCTTGTTGCAAAATCCTTATTGGAGGAATTGTTGAAGCATCCTAGAGAGGATCTCAATTAGTTAGCAAGGGGATCGACACAGATTTTTTGAAAACATGATACAAAATAGTATATCCACTATTGTTCCAATTTTGCGTGGAAAAAAAATATATAGAACATACCAGAATGTTAACAATGGTTACCTCTTGGATGATGGAAATTATATGTAAGTTTAATTTTTTACACATGAGCATGTCTTACCTTAATATTCAGAAAAGTACATTTTTATTGTATACTGTTTTGTGAAAGTATTTGTTTCCTCTACACACTCCCTACCTCAAGTCAAAAATCTTGCAAAAACCCTATGAAGTTGAGATTCTTTCTTTCCCATCACATCTCCCTGTAAATTGCAATTTGGAGATTCCTGACTGGAAAGAAGATAAAGGTGGGAAAGAAGTAATTTCTGTTGACTTCATCTTTGCTCTTCCCTCCTCTGCTGACCTGTTAGTCCAACTGGTCACTGAGTAACCTCAGAAAGCCCTAGGGTGAGCTTGGATCCAGCCATTCCTGGTGGTTAGATCCGTTCTAATTCCTGGGTAGAGTATACAGAGAAGAAGATGGCTAGGAAAAGGCTGAAAACTGTTAAGCCAACACAGAGACTTCATGAACACAAGAAAGTGTTTCTTAAAATAAGTTAGATTCTGCTTTGAGTCCCTGATGATTTTTACATCCTTATGAGTATAGATTTTCATTTTCTCATATTTAAGAAACTCTCTTTTCATTAAAAAAAAGTAGAAATGCTTGTTTTTTAAACTTTGGAAAATTCATAATAGATGAAAACATCATCCACAATTACAAATAAACCACTATTAACATTTTGGCATATATCTGACCAATATTATTTTCTATGAATGGATATTACTTTGCATAGTTGTAACCTAACTGGACATACAATATTGTATTCTTGTTTTTATTTAATATATAGCATGATACTTCATAAATTAACTTATGTAGTTATTTTCTTATTATGGAAAATTAGGTTGTCTGAATTTTTGTTATAAAGAACACAACAATGAGTAATTCTATACATCTACCCTTTTCTATATTTAGAATAGATTTCTAGAAGTAAAACAAAATTCCTGTGTGAAAGCATATCAGCATGTCTTGATATATTGCCAAATTATTTTCCAAAAGGGCAACACCCTTTTGTACTCAACAACCATATATTTGCTAATTTCATGTTATGAACCAAAAATACATATGGCATCTCACAATTGAAATAATTATAGTGTATCATGATTAGATTTGAACAAAAGCTCAATTTAAACTATTTAGAGTTCCTGTGAGTAGAAGTTTCCTTAATTTGTCATCCCATCTGAGCATGGTTCCTAGTTTGTCAAGCAAACTCGACAAAGCAAGGCCCGGTAGCCAAAGACAAGACAAGTAACTCAAAAGGCCAGTCCCCTGTGCATCTTGTCCCATGCACCAAAAGTGACAACACTGACACAACGGGCTCGACGACGGTAATCTTTGGCTACTCTTCCTCCCGCTGTCTGTGTAAGCAATAAATGATCTGAATCTGAAAGGGGCTTGTTGTAGCCTTACTGGCTGAAGCAGTCAGGCCTTGGCCTTGGCTTTGCCTTGTCTGGTGTGTTTGACAAGTTATGGAGGAGAGCAGAGAAAACTGTGGAGAATAGTTACTTGATTAGACAATGAGCTAAAGCACGGACATGGTATTTTGAGGACGTATCAATGCCTAATATCTCTGAGTGGCAAGGCTAACTCTTTGTGGTTGGCTCCTATGTGAAGATTTGGGAGTTTTATCTCCGAAGGGAAAATTAAGGAGGGTTTATCTTTTCTCCACAGGCTGTGCTGTCTGGTATTATTCTGAGCAATGTCCTACCCTACCTCGAAACCATTTACCACCTACCCAACCTGTGGAGTCAGAGCCAGTATGACTCTGTGAGTGGAGATGCAATGGCTGAGGTGGGGAGGGGTAGAGGGGAAGGCTGGAGGGCGGGAAAGAGATCAAATAAGAGATCAGTGTGAAGGACACTAGCAACCCTTTGATGCCAGTACTCTACTTTTACTTTTAAAAAAAGGGAGTTAAAGTTTGGTGCATGGAAGTACTGAGACCTCATTCCAATTATGCAAAATTAAATAAAAAGGAATTAATTAAGTGGCTACAGTTACATTCAAATCTCGTAGAAGGGCTTGCGATACACTGCATAGTTGAATGACTTTTAACCCAGTTAATGTCAATACCTTCCAGGATATGAGACAGAAATCCTAATAAGAGAAGGTGTCATGCCAGGCAAAATAACTGATGGAGTGCCCTCCTCTCTAGAGCACAAAACTAGGGGACAGAAAGGGGAAACAGGAAGAAATAAAAGATGCGGGGGGTTGTAATATGGTAAGAGTTGAGAAGGAGCCAATGGAGACAAGGACCCTGAGGAGCTAAGAGGGAATGTAGTCCAGCACACAGATAGAGCTTCTAGTTCTAGGAGGAGAGCCAGAACTTTGAACAGTGCTGGAGAGGATGAAGGAAAGTTGAGTGCAGATACTCACAAGTGGCTGGAGGAGGGCAAAGTAAATATTTAAAGGAGTTTCAGACTATCTTCTCTGTGCAGGTTAAAACAAAGTCACCTTCTGAGAGGGATGGAGAAGGAGGTGGGGTAGGGGCTTGAAAAGAATGTTAAGATTGGCAATAACTATCATAGGTGTTAAAATAGCAACTACCATTTGGGGAGTGTTCTCTGGGTTGCTTTACAAATGGTATTTCTAATCTCAACAGAGCCTATAAAGTACCTATTTATTACTCCTATTTTGTACATGAGGAAACTGACGTTTCAAGACAAAATTGAAGAGATAAGTGACCAAGGATACAGAAAAAAATTGCTACACAGCCTTGGGACCCAATCATTTGTGATGACTTCAGTCCATCACAAATGGTTGTGGAATTTGTTCTCTAAATCCCAGTGTCGAGAAGGAGAGGGTGAGGTGAACTGAGCGGCAGGACTGGTCATTTTCTCAGTTCTGCTTGTTGTCATGCTCTTCCTTTTCCTTTCTTCCTCTTTCATTTAAGATTATCTGGATTGTGACATTCATGTCTGCAGTTATCCTGGGACTGGACATCGGACTGCTTGTCTCAATAGCTTTTGCTTTCTTCATGATCACTGTGCAGTCACACAGGTACTTAGTCTCAGGTAATGGAGGTTCGCCAGGGTAAGGTAAGGCAACCACCTAAAGGCAAATGCATTTCCTTCCAGAATTAAGATTCTTCTCCTGGGTCAGATCCCTAATACCAACATTTACAGAAGCATCAATGACTATCGGGAGGTAAGAATCCAAATCAGTCTCCCTTCTTTGCCCAAACGATGGGATGGACCAGATCTGCTGCTTAGTTTTTCTAATCCTTTGCGGCTGTTCGCTGCACTACACACACATTGACAAACACAGGGGAAGGGACTCACAATGGCAGATAGTGGGGGAGGGGAGACTCAAGTAGTCAAGTAGGTAAATCCTTCCAGTCCTGCAGCCACTTAAGGATCATGTTAAAATGTACTTAAGGGGGTGGAAGGCCGGAAAAAAAGAGAGGATGGAAAAAGAAGATAGGAAAAGCAAGGGGTGAAAATGTGAGGAAGGAGTTTGCTAGTTCTTGCTTCTTATAAAGAAGAATACAGATTCTCCGGGAGGCTCTAAAGATTTTATTTCTTACTCCATGAAACAGCTGAGAAATTTATCTTTTTTTTTCTTTAAATATTTTTACTGGGGAATTGCAAAAGGGGAACAATGTTGGGGAATTAGGGAAGGGGAACAGCCAAGTTGTTGTCCTTCAGTCTTAGTTGTGGAGGGTGCAGCTAGCTCAGCTCCAAGTCCAGCCGCCATCCAGCTGCCAGTTGGCAACTCAGGGAAGCTCAGCTCAAGGTGCCATGTTCAATCTTAGCTGCGGGGTGGGCATAGCCCACCATCCCATGCAGGAGTCCAGTCAGCAACCTTGTTATTAGGAACACGTGCTCTCACCAGCTGAGCCATCCTGCCACCTGTTGGCAGCTCAGCAGCAGCTCAGCTCAGGGACAGCTCATGGGCCTGTGTGGGAATCGAACCTGCGACTCTGTTGCTCAGAGCTCGCGCTCTTAGCTAACTGAGTCACTCGGCCGACCCCTAAAAAATTTTGCTTAATTTTACATTTGTCCCACAGATCATAAGCATTCCTGGGGTGAAAATCTTCCAGTGCTACAGCTCCATTACATTTGTAAATGTTCACCATCTGAAGGACAAGCTCTTGAGAGAGGTGATGGCTTTCCTCCTCTGCTTTGCTCTACCTGCTCCCCCGGCCCTCCCCGAGGCTGCCTGTCTCCCACCAATCGCAGTCTGTATGAGAGCCCCCTTCTATCTTTCAGGTTGAAATGGTCAGAGAGCCTCTTAAAGAAGAAGACATTTTCTACCTATTTAACAGAAGTGAAGATGGCTCACAGGAAAGAAAGATTTGTCAGTGTTTCTGCAACTGTGACGAGAAGGAGCCACCTCCCAGGGTTAGAAACACCTCTTCTTTTCTGCATTTTCCTCCACGCTTTATAAAGAAGTTCACTAGTAGTGGTTTTTGTTGGTTTAAGAAAAAAAGAAAGAAAACTGAAACCCCCTCAGGGATGTATGACTCTTAGATGGACCAGAGATAATTGGAAAGTAAAGATTTCTACTCAGAAATGAAGACACAGGTTTCCCTTTGAGGGTCAGATCTGACCTGAAAGTAGGTCCCAGGAGATGTTCTGACGCTACTCAATGGCTGGAGGCTTATCTGAGTGCAGAGAGCACAGTTGGCCCATTGAGATTGTCAGCAATTCCCTGCCTGCCTTTAGATTTCTGAAAATAAGGGACTTAAAGATTGTTTTCGACTTCTGATTAGGGCAGAGTCAAGGTGGCTGGGGTTCTCAAGGATCTGCCAGAGTCTCCTGATGTCTACCTGTGACCAAAGAAATAATGATGGCCAGTTAAGGGCAGATGGGGATTTTACAGCATCTGAAAGTTATTTTAGCTGATGAGCAAAATTTTCATTATTTCCAACTCAGACTTGATCTAAATATCCCCTTGCCCCAGAGAAGGCTGCTCATTTCTAGCTTTGGGGCCTTTACCCAGTCTATACACACCCTCTGGAGGGGTAGCTCTACCTACACACACACACTAAATACCTTCTGTCCCCCCTCCTCATGTAGGCCCCTGCAAACATCGAGCACCCACTTTCATTGCCATACGAGGTCTGACAATTAAGTTTGCGAACTTGTTGCAACGAGGTTGTTAACCCCCCCTTTTTTTTAAAAGGTTTTATTGGGGAATTGGGGGCGGGGAACAGCGCTGGGAAATCGGGGGAAGGGAAACAGGCCAACTTGCTGTCGTTTTGTTCTTCAGTCTAGTTGTGGAGGATGTTGCTTCACTGGCCCAAGTTGGCACCATCATTGCGCTCTTCCCGGGAGAGGCAGATCAGTCGCCGGCTTTCTGGACGGCCGCTCACGGCGGCTGCTGGCCGCTCATGCTGGCTGCCGGCTACACACGGTAGCTTATGGCAACCCACTGCAGCAGGGGCTGCAGCCTATGACGTCGCTGGCAACTCACGGCAACCTATCTCCAGGTCGAGCTGTTGTTCAGCACCTTAGCTGTAGAGGGCAGTGTCACTGGCCATCATATGTTGGATTCCGAACCGGGGTCCTCTGGCATCCCAAGCCAGTTCTTAACCAACATGCCACTCGGCCGGCCCAACCTTTTTTGATATCATGTGAATTTGTACTAGCTGGACAGATAACCAAGTTTACTGTTTGGAAGTGCTGAAAAGGCTGCATGAAAAAGTTAGACAACCTGAGCTTTTTGTCAACGATTCATGGCTCTTGCATCACGACAATGCACCAGCTCACACAGCACTGCCTGTGAGGGAGTTTTTAGCCAGTAAACAAATAACTGTATTGGAACACCCTCCCTACTCACCTGATCTGGCCCCCAATGGTTTTTTATTTATCCGAAGATAAAGGAAATATTGAAAGGAAGACATTTTGATAATATTCAGGACATCAAGGGTAATACGACGACAGCTCTGATGGCCGTTCCAGAAAAAGAGTTCCAAAATTGCTTTGAAAGGTGGACTAGGCGCTGGCATTGGTGCATAGCTTCCCAAGGGAAGTACTTTGAGGTGACCATAGTGATATTCAGCAATGAGGTATATAGCACTTTTTCTAGGATGAGTTTGTGAACTTAATTGTTAGGCCTCGTATATTCACACTGTTGTGCAATCATCACCACCATCCATCTCCAGAACTTTTTCATCTTGGAAAACTGGAGCTCAGTACCCATAAACAACAACTCCCATTTCCTCTTCCTCCCAGCCCCTGTCAACCACCATTCTACTTTCTGTCTCTATGAATTTGACTACTCCAGATACATTGTATAAGTAGAATTGTACAGTATTTCTGGTTTTGTAACTAGCTTATTTCACTTAACATAATGTCCTCAGTTTCATCAGGTTGTTCTTTTTTTAAAAAAAAATGTTTTTTCATGGAAAAATTTGAACATATACAGAAGTGGAAACAAGTATAATGAGCCTTTGTGTACCTACCATTAAGATTTATCAACTCATGGCCAACCTTGTTTCATTTATAATCCCACCCAGATATAGTTCCCCCAAATCACAGGATTATTTTGAAGCAATTCATGGAGTTTTAAATCAAACTAGGGAGACAACTCTATTAATATGACAAAAAGGGCTATTCTTGCATTTTCTCAATGTTAAGATAGACATTTTTTTCACATCTCTGAAATTTGGATGCATTGTATAAATTGATGGCATGTCGTAGTTTAATTTTCAGTGTTTTTATCTTTACAACACAAAAAGTAGTGATGAATCTTAAAACTGATGAAATAGGATAGTAAAGCATACTATACAATATTTTGTTATGTTCTAAATTGTGTGTTTAGAGTCTAACAACTCTAAGACTTCAGGTAAAGAGAGATCAGCATGAGCTCAAAATGTCAGGGGAATTGCATGGTAGCAATGGACTTGAGGTGGGCAGGAGAGAGCAATGTCGATTTCTGTCAGGTAGGAAAAAAGAGGACTCCTAGTCCATAGATAGGCTTGGACAAAGACACTGAGGTAGAATTAAGTATGGGATCCTCAGAGTCAGAGGCTTGGCCTGGGAAGTAAGTTCAGGCAGAGACAGCATGAGTGGATTATGAAACCCCTTGCAAGACAGGCATGTAGAATAGATGAAGAGAGAAAAGGGAGGCTCTCAGAAGTTTCCTTCTGCCTGGAGGCCCTTGCATCACCCCGTCACTGAGTCAGTTCTCAGCTGTCCCCGAAAGACTTGAGCTCAGTGATCTTCAAGCCTTGGAGAACACCTCTCTTTTTTCAACTGTAAGATTATTATCTACCCACACAACTTTTTTGCTATGCAATATGTACTACCTTGTATAGTTTATATCTTTACAGGTTTTTATTCTATAAAATGTATTTCATAAGCGATATTATTAGAACAATTTTTCTAACAACCATCACCCCAAATTATACCACGCTAGCCAATGGATTCCTTCTGTTTCCACGTGCCTCACAGTTCTTGTCCCTGTGTGTTGTTAGTTATCCTTTGAGCGGACACGGGCCCACTCCCCACGTACAAACTGGTCCCTGTGACTGCAGAATTAGCATCCACACCTTGCATGCCATTGTACTCCTGGTGCTTGAAACTGTCCTTAAGCTAGGGACAGTGCTATTTGGAGGACAAAAGGAGTGAAAGGGAAAGACAGCTCTGCTCAGGCAATTTTTGTCTTCTTAAGGAAGTCCAACAGAAGACTGTTTCACTTGTAAAAGAAGGAGGTGTTGAGAAAAGGGATTGATGGAAGAAATACTTCAAAGCATTAGTAGGCACTGGGTATTAATTAGAACCTAGTGATAAGGGAAAGGAATAAATCAAAGATGATTTTAAGTCAGGTTCAGGAGGACAATGATACTGTCATTGATGCACCTAGGGAAGCTGGAAGGGGATGCTGTGGGTGGTGAGGATAAGGAAAGATGGACGTGGTGTTTTCAGTCCTGACCTTGAAGTGACAGTGAGATACCCAAGTAACAACTGTACAGCACCTAGTCTGTGCAGACGTTTCCTAAGGGAGAGAGAAGTGAGTTTGTAGACAGGAACAGCACTGTTGCAAAGTACTTCCAGCCTTTGTTTGAATCTTGCCATCATCCTCCCCTAACTCTTGTTCCAGGTTGTTTACACAGAACGATTTGAAAGCAAATGGTACCACGGCACATCCTCCGTTAACCTGATCCGCTGCTCACATTTGGACAGCGGGAACACGAGCCACACTTCATCCAATGAACAAATACCTTACATGGCAGCTTCCGCATTTCAGAAAAATCAAGGGCAAAACCATGAGGATGGGGACAAAGTCAGGCTTTCTTATAACCCCTCTAGAAACAACTCGATGTCACGTCCTGGAGCTTCTGAAAGTCAGGTCAGGTTTAGATCACTCATCCCTGACTCAGAAACATCTCTTCCGCCCAGCATCCACACCATCATCCTGGATTTCTCCATGGTACATTTTGTGGATTCAAGGGCTGCAGTCGTATTAAGACAGGTAAGTACTGAGGAGTCTTTAACAAGAGTCCTGATCCCTGCCTACCACCACCACCCCAGCCCCAGTCCTGATTGAACCTATCAGCTGCTATGGGGTTCCTGGGCCTCTAGGAACTTGGACACTGAAGATAGTTTAAGGTCAACCAGGATAAAAAGAAAAAGAACCAACTCTGATTTATTGAACTGAGCTTGGTCCCCTAAGCATGGCATATTATTTCTCAAGGAATTTGAAAAGTAGGAAACTCTGAACACCCTTGAAACAGCAATCTGTACCACACCCAGCAATTCCTACCAGTAGTATATTCTGGGAGTTAGCAGCCAATCTTTTCTAGGACTAGGTCTGAATGCTACAGAAAAAAGCTCACCAAGAATTCTTCACTATTTAGCTGCTCTGAGCTACACCTTGTAAAAGGCACTCAGATGTGAAGAAACTGTGGTGAAATGACATCTTTAGCCAGGGTCTGCCTGGCCCAGCACCTCTTCATTTCCTGCATCTTTGGGTGAAAAGAACACGGAAGATTTTTCCTTCACAAGCCGTGTCTCTAAATCCTGGCTTCTCTCCCACTCTCAGTTTTCTCTGCCAGCTTTCATTCTTCTCTCTCTCATATAACATGGACTGTTGAGACGCACAACTGGCCATATTGGTTTTATTGTTGAATGTCTCCTAAGTATAGTATCTTTTTTACAGCCAGCTTATCTAAGTGTACAGCTCTCTACCCCACGTTTGCCCCTGTTGGCGATGCCTCAGGTTTAAACATCCTGAACACCCACTTCCGAGCTCTGATTGCACCCACCTTTTTTTTTTTTTCCTCATTTCATGGATTTTTCCATCTTTTATCCTCAGGTCCCATTTTATCAAACCTTATTCCTAAAGGAACATGATTCTCTCTTAAGTGAGGCCAGCTCCTCTTTGGTGTGAGGCAGTGGGAAGCTTCTCAGAGCAGAAAGAACCCTGGTGGGTGGCCTGTGGATGTGTGCTCTGTCCCGGCTTTACTTCTACTCACTGGCCATCTAACCGGGCCGGGTTAACTTGCAAACTTGCACAGCGTCTTGGTTTCCTCATCTATAAAATGAGAGGCTTGGAAGCGATGAATATTCAGAGCTTTTCCATCCATGAGATACTTTTTTCCCACCCCGTTTTCAGACACAAGTATACTGGATAATGTCTTATTTGGGGGGGCTTTTCCATCTGAGGTCATCCTACTGGGCTGTGTTCTCTTCTCCCAGTCGTACACTGTAGTTCTCACTTTAGATTCATTCACCCTAAGTTTTGAAATGCCTACTAAATGCCAGGCAGGCTGGGCTGGGCACATTTATATGCATCATCTCATTTAATGCTCACACAGCCCTGAAAGACACTCCATATTTCCTCCTAAGCATTCTATGCTCACAGCGGGAAGTGGCCTGCCCAGTGTTGGAACTTAAAGCAGTTGTGCCATCCCGTCCTCCTTTCTCTCCTCTCTTGTCTTCGTTTTTTGTGGAGGCGCCATATGTTCTGGTCCGTGGTCTGACCCATCCACACCAGGCCTCTGCTAATGATTTTCTGCTCCAGTCCCCGTGTGGAGGCAACATCAGCCACCTTCACATCAGAGTCTCCAACGATTCATGCCTTTACACTTCCAAATCTTGCATTTCTTCATTCCTTTCGTAATTGTTCTATAGCTCTGTATTGAAGGAAATCATTATATTTTGTTTACTTTATATGAACACTTAATAAGAAAAATCCCAGCAGTCGTTCTTATTAGAGACAACCATTGAATTTAAGCTTCTCCCTAATTCATGGGATTTCAGCCTTTCATTGCTTGTCATTAGAGTATGTCCACTGTGGCGCTTTACCAAATGACTTGATGATTTATAATCAAGAGTGACTTTCTTGTTTCATCTTGATCGTGAAAGAAGTAGAGTCTGTCTGTTTTAGTTGTTCTGGGTTTTTTGGGATTTTTTTTTTTACATTTTAACTTAGTGCTCAGGGTTGGTCTATTCATTCTTAGAATATGAAGGTAAATATTGACTTGCTTTGAATTGAACTTTAAGATTTATTGCCCCAGAGCATATATATATTGGCTAAAGTAAACTTGAGGTCAATATCAAATGTTTCTTAATCCGATACTACTAAATATCTGATGTTTTCACTAAAGTCAAATGCAGTTTTACAGAGCAGCTCTGAATATGACCCTCAGCGTTCCTGAATTCCATTTCCTACTGTATCCTTAACCATCTCTGGGCTCTGTTTTGCATCCTCTGCTCAGAGGGTTCCAGGGAGAAGCAGATCACATGCAAACACTAAGCACTAATAAGATGTACTGGCTCTCGAGGACCATCCAGTATGCCCATCACACCTGGGCCTGTCTCTATCCTAGTACTGTACTCACATGAACATTGTCTCTCATTATGTGAACCATTTCCCCCGTAAGACCCTGGGCAACCCTCCCCCTCACTCCCCACTTCACCTGACACCGTCTGATTCTCTTTTGTATTCCCAGCACCTTAGACACTTCCTGGCACATGGAAGTCCACCCATCAAATGTTTATAAAGCTAAATTGGGATGCAAAGGTTCATATACCCCAGACAAGTGAATGGCCAAAGGGGTCTTAGAACTCAGCTAGTTAGAAGGCCCTTTCCTAGTGAGATGAAGATCCCTAATGCAGACTTACTCTCTCCCCACAGATGTGCAATGCCTTCCAGAATGCCAACATTTTGGTGCTTATTGCAGGGAGTCACTGTAAGTATGCTTCACCCTATGAGACAGCTGCGTTTTGCACCCTGGGTGCCCTCCTACCCAGGTGTCTGACCCCGTGTGTGTTCTGGGTTTGGTTTGTAGCTTCTCTGGTCAGGGCATTTGAACAGAATGACTTCTTTGATGCTGGTATCACCAAGTCCCAGCTGTTCCTCACCCTCCATGACGCTGTGCTGTTTGCCTTGTTGAGGAATTTTCCAGAGACCTCCGAGTTGAGTGTGGACGAATCTGAGACAGTGGTACAGGAAACCTATTCAGAAACAGACAAGGTGGGATGATGTGAAGCACCGGGGTGGGGTGGGGGGCATGATGTGGGGAAGGGGAAAGTGGGAGGGAGATGTGGGGGAGACGCCTGATCAAATAGAGATGAGCAACATCCAGGAAAGGTTTTTGAGTATGGCTGTGTCAGACTTTGAGATGTCAAAATGCTCCTGTACCAGCTGTGGACCTGACACCCAGGTTCTCCCACTGCTATGGCATCTGGGTGCCATTCAGAGCCCCCAGCAGAGGCCTCAAGGGTCCTTTCACAGCTAGCTTGGCTAGTGCTAGTATACATCGATGACTAAATGTTTTAAATATTTTCTCTAGCTATACCTTTAGAACCTATTCCCACCCCAGCCTTCGGGTGAATAATAAAGCTGATGAACTAGCACAGGTAAAGATCTGCCAGTCTAACACTTCGGCTATTACTTACGTTGTGAGTAATATGATTTACTCAACCTGACCAGCTGCAAAGGAGAATAATTTACAAGCCAGAATTTTTAGCCATTTATTAATACTGAGTAAAGATCTGGGCCTACCTCAGTGTTTGCAAATCAGTATCTGTAAAGGTTAACAGTTTCCTGCCCAAAAGGAAATTAAAATGCAGATGGTCGCCAAAATATTACCAAATCATTAGAAATTATTTTTTAATTAAACCCCTGATTCTTTGACTTGCTACATTTCAATAATGTTTGAATTTTTATAACAAAAAAGTATTACCAGAGTTAATACTTTAAGAAGTAGAAGATAGCCAAACATATAAAACAAGGCCCTTTTTGTTTTTTTTCTTTTTTTTTAAATCTACTTCTTTTATTTTTTTTAAGAATTTATTGGGGAATTGGGGCAGGGGAGCAGACAAGTTGCTGTCCTTCTGTTCTTCAGTCTAGTTGTGGAGGACGTTGCTTCACTGGCCCATGTTGGTGTTATCATGGCACTTTTCCCGGTGAGGCAGTCGCTCGCTGGCCATTGGATGGCCGCTCACAGCAGTTCATGAAAGCACACACCAGTTGCCTGCTGGCCAGCCCCACTGCAGCCTATGCAGTCGCCAGCGACTCATGGCAGCCCAACTTCAGGTCAAGCTGTTGTTCACTATCTTAGCTGTAGAGGGCGCAGCGTCACTGGCCCTCATGTGGGATCTGAACTGGGGCCCTGCTGCTCAGAGCTGGCATCCCAAGCCAACTCCTAACCAACGCGCCACCTGGCCGGCCCACTTTTTCTTTTTTTAAAGTAATGTATTACCAAGTATTTCCTTTGCTTTGTTGAGAATTCTCCCAGGTCATGTGCCTCTGCTATATAGAATAACTTTTTTTCCCAATAGTTAGATTTGAACATATTTTTTCTATATGGGAGGTCTCTACATTTATTCAGTCTTTTTAAATGTTGTATTCATAGTAAGACTTTGTGACTTCCTTCATATAGACAAGTCCTGGATACTATATACTTTATGTTTTACATTTTTCTTGCTTTTTAAAATGAATCTTCTTTTTCATTATATTTTCTAATTGGCAACAGCTAGCATATAGGAAAATCTATTGATTTTTAAATTATTTGGCCACCCTGTGAGTCCTTGCAGTAGTCCTAAAATGTTTCATGGTTAATTCTCTTGAGTTTTCCAGATAAAAACATATTTTCTATAAATATTTTGAATCTTTCACTTTCCAATTGTTAGAATTCTTATTTCAGTATCATATAGAATGGCATTAGCTAGATCTCCCAGAACAATTTACGTAATAATGGTGAGTCTTGTCTTCCTCCTGAATTTAATGAGAAAAGCTTCCTATGTATCTCTATTAAGGATAGTGATGATAGTTGGCTTAAGATGAACATTATATTTACTATGTTTTTTAAAAGTATTTTTCTAGTTTACTAACAATCTCGACAGGACTTCTATTAAGAAAAAGCAAAATTTTTTTTTTAGAGGTTTGGTATTGAATATGTCAAATTTTTTTTTTGTAGCATTTAAGCTAGGGAAGACTAGGAGTGGACAATTTTCTATTCTGGATGTATTAAATTCAAGATGCCTATTAAACATCAAAGTGGAGCTGTCAAGAATGGAAGTGGATATTTGAACCAGCAGATTAGGGGAAGGGTTATAACCAAAAAGTCATTGTCACATACAGATGGTAATGAAAATTATGGGACTACATATAATAGCCTATGGGGGCAGTGCAGATGGAGAAGAGAAGGGTCCCAGGGTGAAGTCTTGGGGAATGCCAACATTCAGAAGTCCAGAAAAAGTAGAGGAGACAAAAAACATACCAGGAAGAAGCCACCAGGAAGGAAGAAGGTAAAGCAAAAGAGTGTCATGTGGTGGAAGAGAAGAAAATGTTGCAGGAGAGGTGAAAGCTGTTAATTCTGTGGAATGTTGCTGCAAGGCTGATTCGTGAAGCCTGTGTGGTGTCTGCTCTGTGACAGGTTCAGTGCCTGGTGCTGGGGATGTCATGAACCAGCACTGCCTGCCTCAGGGAGCTTAGCGTCTAATAGGTGAGATAGACTTGTAAATGAATAAGGCAATCCATTACTGGTACTACAATAGAGGTGTGGGGGGCTCACAGTTGGAACACAAAGGAAGCTAAGATCTTGGTTAGTGATCTTTGCTCTGAATGTGGAATGATGAATAAATGTATGTGGACAAGATGGAGAAGGACAAGGCAGGTACGGGAGCAATATGAGCAATGATAAGTGGTAGTCAGGAATCTTTGGTTAGCCTTATGGCTGGAGCAAACGGTGAGGATGACAGATGGAGAGAAGCTAAAGAAGATGGCAGGAGGCCAAGTCATGAAGGGCCTTACATGCCCTGCTGAGGATTACCTGTGTGGTTGGAAAGACAAGTCAGATCAAGAAGACAAGAAGTTTCGCACGGCCGCAGCCATGGGTATGCTCAGGCTTCAGAAAAGATTTGCCCCCAGTGTCCTCCACTTTGGCACAAAGAAGGTCTGGTTGGTCCCCAGTGAGACCAATGACATGGCCAATGCCAACTCCTGTCAGCAGATTTGGAAGCTGATCAAAGATAGGCTGATCATCTGGAAGCCTGTGACTGTCAACTCCCGAGCTCGATGCTGGGAAAACATGTTGGCCAGAAAAGGGAAGCATATGGGTACAGGTAAGTGAAAGCACACTGCCCATGCTCGGATGCATGAGAAGGTAACCTGGATGAGAAGGACGGGAATTCTTCGCTGATTGCTCAGATGATATCGTGAATCTAAGATTGACCGCCACGTGTATCACAGCCTATACCTGTAAGGGAAGAGTAATGTGTTCAAAAACAGCGATTCTCATGGGACACACCCGCAAGCTGAAGGCAGACAATGCTCACAAGAAGCTTCTTGCTGACCCATAGGTCTAAGTCCCATAGGTCTAAGGTCCACAGGTCTAAGTCCAAGGAAGCACACAAGTGTCATGAAGAGCGGCTCCAGGCCAAGAAGGAGGAAATCATCAGAACTCTCTACAAGGAAGGAGAGAACAAGAAGTAAAACTCCACCTCTCATACCTGTACATGGTAGCTTCGGCAATTACATCGATCAGTCATTCAATAAAATAGCTTTCATCTGCCAAAAATAGGACAAGATATTTTAGAATGCTGCCAAGACCATTGCCATTCAAATGGTTGCCCATGAAATCCAGGCTAGCTAGAAAAACCCAGAGACAGCAGAAGTTATGGAATGATTGAACCTACAGAATAATGAGTATCTCAGGAATCAGAGGGTACAAAGAACACAAAAAGCAGATTTAGGCCAAAAATATTTTCTACTTTGCCAGGAACCCATGATTTCTGTCTGGTACTTTAAGTCCTGTTGTATTCTGAAATTTCTTGACTATTCAAAAGTTACATTTAATTGGAAATTTTAACCCATCTAATTGTGTGTATTTCAGGATGAAGAGGCAAGACATAAAATGAGCAGCAGTATCCTAGAAGTCCCCCAAAATGTAAATCCTGGCTTAACCACGACCCAAGGGACAATAACAGAGCCCATGCTGGAATCAGAACAAGAGACGGAGTGTGAGCTAGAGACTGAGTGTGAGCTGGAGCCTGAGTGTGAGCTGGAGCCTGAATCTGAGCCACAGTCCGAGATGGAGATGGAGACAGAGATTGGGCCCGAGCCCGAGCCCGAGCCCGACCTCACGCCCAGGCCAAGGGCTCAGACTTATCCTCGGCAGCAGTACTGGCTTTTGTATCAGCCCAAACGTCCTAGCTCCCCAAGTCAGACTCAGCCTAGGACACAGTCGGTGCAGACGAGGCATCAACCTATGAGTTCATATTCTCTTAGGGGAGGTGACATTGAGGAGCCCTAGGAAATGAGCTGGGTAAAAAGGGTCATAGTCCCTTGCCAAATCCTCCCCACCCAAATGGAGTCACTTGCAAACTAGCAGGACTTGCTTTGGGACTAAGTACAATACTAAGTACCAAGAATTATCTCTGAATTCCCTATCCAGACACACTTTATTTCAACTTCAGCAGATATTCCAATGAAGGATTCCCACATCCCACACTTCTGGGGTTTTTATCAGACAACCTAAATGATCCCTCTCAGCTCAGCTCTGTTCTTTCTCCAAATATATGAGGCTCAAATAAAACATACAATGTTAGTTGTGTTTGGACTCTTCCTGCCTCTGCTCCCTTCTCTGTATTCTGTATGCCTAAGGAAATGTCAGGTGGGAGAAGTTCCAGAAGTGGGTGGACATGGTGGAGAAGAGATGAGCAAGACAAAGAAAATTTGTATTTTATATTCAAGGTATCTTTATGGCATTGATTGTAGATATAGGCAGGTTGAGCCAGGCCAGCCTGTGAGGCATGTAGGGTAAGGAACTGTTAGGCTGAAAGCATTTTGCCACCTCTCCAAAGTCAGGATCTTATCCTTCCACTGGTTCAGAATGCCAATCAGCTGTACCAACTGATGAGAATGTCAGCTCTATAGAACTCTCCCTGGTTTTCAGATCCCCACTCACTATTGCTTCTTTCTTATAGGTTTTCAAGATATAGGCAATCTAGAATGTGTACTCTTAGTTGAAATCTGTGACAGACACAAATCCCTTAAGAACTGGAAAAGTAAATCATTGCTAGTTTGGTCCAAAACCATTCAAAACATTTCCCCTCCCCCACTGAAAAAAAATATCTATTATTAAGTTACAACCAGAAGAGAAATACAGACCCTTGGGCAAAGGCATATGGAATCCTGGATTTTATTTCCCACTCAATAAATAAGATTCCTCTTGCTTGGGTACTGAATGTCTCTCATCTGTTAGATGAAAGAAGTCCTTGTTAAAATATAGGTGTCTCTTATTACAGAGATAGCATGCACACCCACTCATTCATTCTACAAACATTTACTAAGCATCTGCCACATATATAACACCCCAAACTGTGGGGTAGATAAAACAATATTATCCCTACTTTGTACATGCATAAACTAAGGGTCAGGTAAGTTTTGTAATTAGCCCAAGGTCATATACGATTGCACGCTGTAACAGGTGGGAGCCCAAGTCACAGCTTCATTATTCATGTTTACTCAACACATTTATTGAACTTCTGCTATGTGCCAGGCACTGTCCCAGGTGCTAAAGATAGAAGATAAGCAGAATAGATGACAAAAAATAATTTTAAAATGTGATTAGGTCCTTGAAGGTAAAATACAGGAAAATCTGAGGGCATACATCAGGAGGACATGAAACTATTTTGGGTGTCAAGGAAGTTCTTCCTATGGTAATTACATATGACCTGACATCTGAAGGATAAGTAGGAGTTAGGTTTAAAGCAAGTTCTAATAACTGCTAGGAGGGCAGAGCCAGAAGGTGGGCACCCAGGGACACAGCCAGATGGAGCCTAAGGGTAATTACCATGGCACCAACGACTCAACCAGAAACTGGGTCAAACCAGGAATGAACTCTCGGGGTGGCAGGGACAGGCACAGAAATGGGGCAGAACCAAGAGAACATTCCACATTTAAAACAGAAAACTAGCAAGTGCACAGAGAGCCCAGTTTCATGGGCTGTGACCCTCTCACTCCGGCTCCCTTCTATTCCCACGTTTCCATCAGAGGAAGGTCTTGAAACACAGAATGAATGGCTTCTGACACTGGGGCAGCAAGTAGTACATTTTAGAATTTGGTCCTTCCTGCTACAACTGCAACATAGGTAGACATTGGTTTTGAAGCATGACCCCAGAAAGACCAACCAGATGCTATACAGCCTATCTTTAAATAATATTCTGCTATAAACCCATAATAGCATCCAGCCTCTCCCAAAGTAATATGATAAGGAAAAATGGTTAATGATTGTAAATAGTAACTAGTAAAGTGAGTAACAATTAAAAGGCTGAGCCTTCTTCCAAGATGGAAATCATCTGAAATTCTAAGACTTAACAAAATGCTACGGTTGGGTTGGTTAGTTCACTTTTCACAGCATGGTCATCATTGCAGCTTTTAGCTCTCTAATGTGAAATTGGAGAAAAATTCTAAAGAGTGAAACACCAGTACAGGCTGGATCTGAAAGTGAAAATGTCTTAGGACAAATTTTTCTTCATTACTGAATAAAAACCTTCAAGGCAGATTATGTTCTATAGTAAATGGGGCTTGGTTTTTTTATGGGAAGAACTAAGGCAGAATCAGTAGAATTGCAGAAAAGTAGGTTTAGAAAAGGGTCTGGTCAAAATAGGCGACCGTAGGTTGCTGTCGCTAAGTATGTTAGGTATCTCAAAACCCAATGATTGTACTATGAATCTCAGCCATATCTGATTTAGATGATATTTAGATGAGACTTTGGACTTAGGCCTTTGAGTTGATAACATGTGAGAAGGACATGAATTGGGAGGGAGGCGGGATGCCAGAGGTAAAATGCTATGGTCTGAATGTTTGTTTCCGCCCCCCCCCCAATTCATATGTTGAAATTCTAACCCCCACGGTGAAGGGAGGGCCTTTGGGAGGTGACTAGGTCACCCTTAAAATTATTATTGAGATTAGTGCCCTAATAAAAGAGGCCTCAGAGAGATCCCTCCTCCTTTCTGCCATGTGAGAACATAGCAAGAAGTTGGCCATCTATGAACCAGGAAGTGGATTCTCACCACACACCAACCTTGCCAGCATTTTGTCTTGGACTTCCCAGCCTCTGGAATTGTGAGAAATACATTTCTGTTGTTTATAAGCTACCCAGCCTATGGTATTTTGTTATAGCGGCTCAAATAGACTAAGACACCCAAGGACTTAATTACATTGCATCTGGATTCAACTGTTATTTATCAGTAAAAATAGAGGAAATAATGGCATAATACAAAGTCATTAATGATCTCAGTGCTAGGAAGGACCATGGGGTTCATCTAGTCTAATTACCCATTTAATCTCTTACAATTAAGTTAATAAATGCTTCTTACAATTAAGAAGACTCACCATATTTCAGATACTCCACATTTCTGTAACTATTGATGCATGACAATCCATCCCAAAACTTAGTGGCTTAAACCAATAATCATGTATTTATTTGCTCATGATTCTGCCATCTGGGCTGGCTTTAGCTGAACCCATTCATAAGGCTGCAATCATCTAGAGATTCAACTGGGGCTAGAAATCAAAGATGGCTTTACTCATATGTCTGACACCTCAGAAGGGATGGCTGGAAGAGCTGGAGGCTGGCCAGGCAGTTCTCTCTCTCTCTCTCTCTCTCTCTCTCTCTCTCTCTCTCTCTCTCTCTCTCTCCCTCTCTCCACATGATCTCTCCAGCAAGGTACCTGAACCTTATACGGCCACTTAAGGCAGTGTCACCAACCACATTCTGTTAATCGAAGTAAGTGACAAGGCCAGCCTTGATTCATTGTGAGGGGAAATACACTCCACTTCTTGAAGGGAAAAGAATTTTTAATCTACCAGACTATGATAAACATGAGGATAAAAGGATGAGTAAAATATGATTTCTGCGCTCCACGAGCTCCCAAAAAACATACAGGTGTTGCGGGAAGAAAGTGTCATGGACTCCTGAATAAAAAGCTGATAATGAAGGCAAAGTGCTGTGGAAATATAGACGACAGGAGGGGTGAGAAACAATGTGGGTCAGGGAAAGGTACTGAGAAGGAAAGACATTTGAGCTGGGCATTAAGTAGGAATTATGTGATAAAAGAGGAAGTACACAGTACCGCCTATGAAGTAATCTTGCCAAAAAATTAAACCTCAGTATGATCAACCCTTTAGACCTAGCTATCAGATTCTAGAAAATGTAGGCACAGAGGAACATGTTAAATGATGCTAAGGAAGTGCAATCAGCAGAACCTAGAAAACTGAGCAGGACAAATGAGCCACTTTCTTCAAAAAGAAGTTAAAAACAACAACAATAAAAAGAGGGAGTGGAAACCTAAGAATTAAGAGACAAGAATGGAATGGGTGAATGTTGTTTGAATCCTGATTTGAACTAACTGGAAAAGAACATGAGAAAACTTCTACTTCTGAGTAAAATGTAGTAGGAAGTAGCAGATCATTACTCCTTCTATATTAAGGAAAAATATGAATGAATTGTGAAGATAATATTTTGAAAGACATTGAAGAGTTCTAGAAACTAAGAAGACTAAAAGAACTAAGTTTAGGAGAGAAAAAACTTCCTAGGTGAATTCAAATTATAGGCCATTTTATTTCTTAGGATTATTTGCTGAATCTGGAAACAGGCTTTCCTTACACAGAGGGACTCTACTAGGAAAAAGCGAAACCAATGAAGCTTTTGGTGGCCACTTGAGGTGTCATCATAAATGGACTGGTTTCCTCTTTGAGACATTTGCTGAGTGCCAGAGCCACTCAGGAGGCTAGAAATTGGCCTGCAAAGGCAAAATGAAATCTCCCACAGTCTCAAAGTATTTTTGTCTAGGAGACAAAGTCCACTAAGGGAAGCGGCCTTTCATAAGCACACAAAAGATCTTGCCCTTGAGACATTTGAAACCAGAAGTGGACTAAGTCTAACTAAAGCCACAACACAGCTCTATTTCTAATACAACTGAGATACTTAGCCTCTCACCTGTTTGCCTAATGAGAAGTACATATCCTGTCTGGAGAGAAATAATATTGACTTCAGTTTCTATTTTTTGGCACAACATCCCACATACGATTAAGAAACAAATCACAAGGCATTTGAAGAGGCAGAAAAAAGTGTCTAATAATTAAGAAAAACAAAATATACCATGGAAGCAGTCACACAGGTGATTCAGGTGTTGAAGTTAACAGTCAAGGACTTCACAACAACTATTATAAATATGTTTAAGAAAGTAGAGTAAAAAATGGACAAAAGTTAATGAAAAAATGAATCATTTCAAAAGAGAATTATAATCTACAAAAAAAGAATCAAATGGACATTCTAGAACTGAAATACAAAATATTGGAAAAGAAAAGCTCATTGGACTGGTTTAACAACAGACTGGACACAGCAAAAGATAGCATTATATAACTTGAAGACAGTAAGTAGAAAATATTCAAAATGAATCACATAGAGGGAAAATGGGGTTAAAAAAAGGAAACAAACAGAAAAGAGTCTTCAAGACATGCAGAACATAGTCAAATGGCCTAATATATGTGTTTTAGGAGTCCCAGAAAGAGAGAAGAGCCTAGGGAAAGTAATATTTCAAGATACGAGTGTGACT